CTCGACCTCACGACACGAGGACGAGCTCGACGAGAGACAGCCCACCCTCTCCTACCTTCCCTCTTCACTCTCTCCTTCTCCTTCTCACGTTCTGCTCCTACTTCGTCGCGCCTCGTACCACAGAATCGTGGCGTATTGTAGACTTTTTGAAAGAACACAAAAGGATGCCCGGCCGCTACAGACCACCGAGGAAAGAACTGAGGAAACCACGAAGAGCACGTGTTCGTTCGGTCGTTCGAAAAAAGACCCGCGATATTAATTGTTTCAAAAAAGAAAGAAGAAACACCCGTTGTCCCTCGATTTTCGGCGTCATGTAAAGTTAGTCGCGACGGTAAGACACGCGGGAGGCTGCTTAAACGACCCAGAAGTGGAACTCAGCAGGAAGTGGGAAATGTATCGAAGGGAACGTAGAAACGTGGAACAAATAGCCAAGCGAATATATCAAAGTACATCTAACCTAAACTTCCAGGAACAGCGTGAGAGAAACGTATCGCGGGTAAAGGGATGATAACAGAGGCTGATATCTAAACGTTGAATAATTAAACAACTTGTCGCGATGTACAAAACACTCAGCTCGTCGGGAATTCGGTAAGCGAATTTCCCATAACAATCTGTCGTCGGTACTTAGAGCGCCTGTTTGGGCGAGCGGCTGGAACAAGTAAACCAGCGGAAGCGTGCGACGATGTATGAAAATGAGACACGAAGCGAGATCAAAGATCAGGTTTTCTATATGCGTCCCACAAGTTGCAGGATGGTGTTTATTATAATAAATTATCATAATAACACGTGCTAACATGTGATCGGTAGTTATCGGTAATCGTATGCAGCAGCTTGGTGCATACGGGAAAAAAGAAACAGTTTAATTTATTCAGCAAATTTGTAATAGTTTACTCAGCAAAATTAAACGTCACAACAGGTTTGCAGGAGAGATTACTTATCAACTTGCTGAAAAGAACAAGCCAATAATTTTTTCTAGATGTTACTTCGATTATTGCGGCAAATCATTTCACACCGTGAGCGAATTAAAATCTCCGAGACAGATTCATTAATTTTATAAAAAAATTAAGAGAAATATTACTTTAATTCAACCAAATCTTTTTTTCCATGCCACGCGAGCTTTCTATATTATTATTGCGTGGCTGAATACTGAAACTTCAAGATGCGAACGATTACGTAAAATGAATCGTCTGACCGTACCTCGAGACGTTTCTCCGACAGCTCGGGGACAAGGAGAACTTGTGTCATATCGTATCACCGGATTTTCCTCGTGGGAGGAGTTTTCAACGAGGCGCATAGATAAATCGTAAAAAAAAGGTCTCCCCACGAGCGAGAGGAAACGCCGACGAACGGACGGACGGACGGACGGCGAACACGTTAGAACGTTTAATTGGTTTACGACGAGTCGTCGCGACGGCGACGAACCATTAGGCGTGTTTTCCTAAGCGCTACCACTCTACGTAGAGATAATATTTTGGGGATGCGTAGGCTGCTGCGGAGCCGCGCACGTTAGTTGGCGTTTAGACCACCTTACGCAAACACCGAATTTTCGACGGCCAAGTCGCAGCAATAATACCGCGTTCGCAAACAACGCGGAAGCCATAAGCGAGATTTACCTGCGATCGCGTAGGGCAGGTTTTGGCCAGCGTTTGCCGCCACGGGACGACCGGACTCCCTTTTCATCGCCGCCGTCTCCGTTTTCTCCCTGCTCGAAAAACGCGCCTATGCAAATCCATTAACTCCCGGACAAGGGGCAGCCCAGCACTCGTGCATACCGTCCCCGCGTGATTTTTCAAGATTCCAAAGGATTTTGACTTAACTATTAACGGGGAAAATATCGTAAGAAGTACCACAAAATTTTGTAACACCGGACCATACCGGGATTGTGACTAAAATTATGTGTATTGTAATCTTTGGTGATGTGTACAAATAATATACGTCACTAAAGATTATAACACATATCATAATTTCAGTCATAATTCCGGTATGATCCAGCATTGCAAAATTTTGTAGTAATTTTTACTATAATATTTTCTCCGTGTATTTATTAACGCTTCCTGAAAATCTTTAGAAAAGCCGATACAATACGGATCACACTAATTCTGACGCAGATTCCAGAGGTTCATTCCTGAATAAATTGGTGCTTTGGATCAGCAAACTTTTCGACTAAATTAATGATCTAAAATAAAAACGTTTCAGTGATCAGACAAGAACACTGGCCGGTTCAAAGCGCAAGTTACTCGGAAAGTGAATCCTCCAAAACGAATGTCGAGAACAAGATCATTCGTGTTGTATAAATTGTTCTAGAAATTTACCACGCTCTCTTATTTATAAAGAAGTAGAATAGAATTTAAAAGCGTTTTAGAAAAAGGTGTCTCTAAGAATTGGAACGACGATTGGTACTCCAAGGGTTGCCATTCGGCAGGTACGAAACAGGTACGAACCCGAAATCCGCATGCAGCGAGGGTTTAACGACGTCTTTTCACTTCCCGAGGAATGCGTTGTTCAGGGCGAGGGTGTGATACCTGCGTCTATCTCGCTCAAGGGCAAAGAAAACAAAAGTTCATCCTACAAACCCCAAAATTCGTATCTAAACCCCTACAATAAGGCAATAACCAGAAACGAGGTCGTCACGGAACAAAAGGCCAAGGGGAAACTGTCACAACTAAAAAAATAGAAATCTTTTTTCAAAGGCAGCCCGATGATCTACCTCTGAAAATGGACCGTCGTAATTGCAAGGCGCCCAGTCGGATCCCCGGGCACAAAAGCCGACGGGAACGGAGAGAAAACGCCGGGGAGTTATCACCGTTAGCTCTGTGTTCGCAACCACCGAGAGCCATCGAAGATGAGGGATCGAGCGAGAGTTTGCGAGCATTCCTCGCGTTAGGGTATCGAATTGATTCGGATTCCTCGACGCATACCGAACTTGATCCCATTCCTAGTGTCGAGGCTACACGCGAGCGGCGACGGCGGTGGCGGCTACGACGCATCGGTATCGTGTATCAATCTCATGAGGAAGAAACATTTAATATCATCTCTCGCCGATAATAGATTCATCTACCTGCGCCTACCCGCCTACCCGCGCGTAATCTACCGCACGAATCTCCGGTGCGGAAATGTCAACGTATACTCGCGTCGCGCGTCCGGAAAGGAACTTAAGTTCGTTGTGTGCATTGTCCCGACCGTGGAGGAGCTGTATATACTGGCTGACGCGTATAAGATCGACGCGTTATCGGAGCGGATATCGACGTTACTGTTATCGAGGCACTCTCGGTCGGATAGCCGAACCGGTAATGGAGACCCGCGCGCAGCTTATTGGAAAAGAAAAGAACGAAGACACGCGCAGTGATAACCCCGACGTCGGATAAATCTGCCCCTCCCTCCCCCCGGGGATATTTATTTGTCCAAGCGGCGATATACCGTGTGTCCTCACATCCGGCTTCTTATCGGATCGCTGTCTGCGCGCCCGAGATCGGCGCCGAGATGATTGTTAGGAGAACAAGTCGTGAGGACAACGATATCGTCGCCCGCGTCGGATCATCACTCAAGCTGATCTTATTAGTAGTACACTGAATGCGCGACACGAGCGATGCAGAATTGCAAAAAAGGATAACAAACGGTGAAATCGCTAACAACTTTTTGTCCCGGGCGAGTTCTCTCCTTCTTCTTCTTCTTCTACGAGAGAAGTTCACGCTTCGCTCGCCGAAGCGTTTCGCCCGCGTACGTTATCGTTTTTATGCTGCTTACGTGTTAAATGGATTATATATATATATATATATATATATATATATAACATGATATATGTATCGAGGCGGCATTTACATGCAGATGACCTGAATAACAAATTTCTGATAGATGCAGCTTTATCACATATTGAGAAGAGAACGAAAAAAATCGACTTCAAATTTATCGAACAATGGACTTAAGAGAACTTCTTACGTTCACAATTTGAACGATTCATTCTAAATAAAAATTATTACTTGTACGTTTCTGAGATACTTCGTAAAATAAAGCCGCACTGATGCATAAATGCTCATACACCGTACACACACGTGTATTGAATAAGGTCCAGAAACTTTTCAATACATGTTCCAAGGTAAATCTTAAGCGCAGCGGCCATGCCGGCAACATAAAGAGCGTATAGAAAATCAACCTATTGCGCCCTTCGGCCGATGAGAGCATCAATTAATTAGCCGTGTAATTTCTAATTGACGAAAATAACTTACCGTGAAAGACGCGCGCGTATACCTGAGTCAAAATTTTGATTCTACATTAATCTTGAAAATTCCGCCGATCTTGAACGACCAATGGAGAATCTCGAAGTTTAATATTGGTCTTGTTTACACCGACCGTTCTGTACACATACCGATTAACAATTTTATCCTGAATTTTCACCTTTATTTTCACGCGTATATCTAAACAACGGTGTATTTAATTGAATTGGACGATACGTCTTCGTAATCCATATTATATCACCTTAGCACATCGTTGTCTACATACATCGTCGAAATTGAAGTAATCCGATAGAAAGTTACTATGCGCGCGTACGAAATAACCAGTGTAAACTAAGTTATTATACAAGCTTTCTTGCGATACAACCGGTTACTAAGCTCGTGAAATATAATATACTTCATATAATATATACTTCATATAATATATACTTCATATAATATATATATTAATAAATGGAGAAAAGACGATAAATATTTGTAATATCAAGATAGAACAATAACTTATAAAATGTTGTCTCCAGATTTTCAATTGGTTCTTCAAGTTCGAAGGATTTACAGCAGAGTCAACGTAGAACAAAAATTTCGATTTGGAATTGTTACCATAATTTTAATGCCAACAGGTAAAAAATTTTCGAAACAAATTGTATTTAATTTACGTCTACATTTTCAATAGATTTATTCAAACTTTTGTTGATGTTAGTATCTTGTTAGCGTTAATGCTCAATATGACGCGTCTATTAAAATTTCATAGTTTGAAAAAATATTACTCACTTTCGGTTGCTGGCGAGGAATCGGTCGAATTCGACGGACATCTTGCAGCAGAGGGCCCGCCGATTGTGCGAGGAGGAGCACTTGGTGTCGATCATATGGCCGTCTGAAAGCAAAGGGAAGGAGTTGAACGCGGGGTGGGCGTGCAATTAATTAAGAGGTTAATAATCATCCTCGTGAGCCGCTGCTACGGCGGTCTAATTAATTCGGGCTGATGGTTCTCGCTTCTTCGGGAGCGCTACCACCGCCTCGATGGGAGGATATATCGCGATCAAAGATACACACGCATACACGGAGTATTCCTTGCCAAACAATCGAGATTAGAAACATAATCGTCTTCAAATTTAATTTAATTTTAGATTCGAGACTTATAGAAATGAAGGAAAACATATATAAAAATTGCTACTAACTTTACATCACAGTAAAGTCATCCGTTGACATTGTTGATTGTAGCGGTAATTTTCTAAAAATACATAATTGTGCAACGTAAAAATACGTGTAAAAATATATTCTGTATATCATACAGAAAACTTCGCAAGATGTGAAAGAGAGAGAGAGAAATGAATCAACTGAATTCTTTGATGTAAACGATATTTCCCGGCGCGTCGTTACACGCGAGATTTCCGGCGCGAAGTTGTCAGCATCCACACCTGGGCAAACCGCGAAGGGTGGATCGAGTTCGAGTCAGGTAGGAACGGTAATGAGAAATGGCCAACGCGGAGGTGCAAACCGGTGCAGAGCGCGTGGTGAGGTCAAATGTCGGACGGTGCCCGAGGGTTCGCGTGCTCATCCCTCCTCCTGCGTCCTTCCGTACCCGATATTATCCTCCTCGGGACTCGCGTCCACCCACGCTCCGCTGCCTCCGCTCGTGACTAATGCGCGGCCCGAGTTATGAGCGGAGAATGAAATAATGTCGAGTTTATTAAGGAGCGCCCGTGCGCCGTAATGATCCGCGTGAATTTCGTCATTTCTTTCGGATCATCCACGACCGCTCGTTCGTCATGCAAATGAGTCCCCGATCTTGCCCTGAGACGTGTTTTGGACCTGCGTAATTAGGAGAATTCAGAGAATTTCGGAACAATCTACTTTATCTAAGAGAAAATAAAGGCATAATTAAACAACGCAGGGAGATATTGATCATATCGATCAAATTATCCTGAAAAATGCAAATTATTTTTCGGCTTTTAATCCATTCGAGACCGATCACACACCGTGTGTGCAATGGATTTACGTGGCTATAAAACTGGTTGCACACCGTGTGTGCAATGATAATGAAGAGCAATTATCACTCATTCTGAGTGAAGTGGTCGTCGAGATAAGATTTGTTTTGAATTAAAAATATCTGTGAAGTATAGAAAAACAAAATTTGGCATTAGTTTTAAAAAACTTAATTGGAAAACCCCGAGACAGAAGGTCGACAACACTAGAAACAAATGATCGCTTACCTGAAATTTTACCAAGAAACAAAAATAGGAAAGTACAAAGAAAGATTTGCCGACAATGCTACAAAGAAGGTAAATATAGGCGTAGTAATTACTCTTCTCCAGCTTGTGTCGGTAATCCTGGATTATGTTTGGGAGACTGTTTCAAGCGCTATCATAAACCAACCAATGTATAATTACTTTATGATCAGTGTACTATTTTCTAAAAATGTATTTACAAATTATATTTTCTTTTTCATTACTGAGTTACATTACTTTATTACCTTTAGACATTTTTCTAAAAATTCATTCCTCGTTTATATTATTTTCTTCGTTACTTAATTTTATTTTTTTGGCTTTTTACTATTTCTTAAAAATTTTCTTTGCATTATATTCTGTTCTTCATTATTGAAAGCAAAATAACGATTTTATGTTATCTAACTATTTTTGACATAAATGTTTATCAATCTTAATGATGTATTTTTATTTTACTTTACATTGCACACATGGTGTTCAATCTGCTCCCCGCAATAAAAATTTTCTGCGAAGCGAGCTGCACACACGGTGTGCAATCATCTTATTTGTGCGAATTGACTTACGAATTCGGTGATTTCTATAGTAAACAAGTTTTTTTTCATTAAAAATAAACAATACAAAGAAAAAAAAATTTCGCTCCTGGGGACCGTGTTCGAAAAAATTCGCCGTCTCGAATGGGTTAAGTTAAACGACTGTTCACCTTGAAGAAATACATTCATTGGAATAATTGCACTGTTCTCTCTCTCGCGCGCGAATTTTTCACCGTCCGCACATTTATCAGCCGAAACGCGGAAATCAGCTAATAAGTCGTCAGATTTCAAGTTTATCTCGTAAATCACGCGTTGATCGTGCGCACGCGTTATCATTTTTCACTCGATCAACGGTTTCATTCCGTTACAGAGATTAATGCGCGCGCAACGATATCGCGATAAAGCTACTTTCTCTTTTGCAATTCCTGCGAACACGGCGAAGAACGGACCGCGGTTGTGCATCCAAAATGATCGAAACAGCACGAGCGAAGACTCGCTTCTCACCTCGTCCGCCGCACGATATACTATTCGCGTTCGCGGCGCATCTTTCCGCCCTTCGCCAGCCGTCTCTCATCATCCGTTTTCTCCGCCTCCTCGTCATCTGCATCCGCGCCCGAGGGTGCAGTTGGTATGCGCTATAGTAAGCCGGCAACGATTTCGCCGGTTAGAATTCGCCGTTGCAGTTATTATCCTCGGTGCTCGCTACTGACTCACGCGCGAATATAAAGCGTCAGGCGGATGCAATTTTAAATTGCAAAGAGAAAGGAAAGAGAGAGAAAGAGAGAAATATATCGAGCGACGACACGAGGACATTTCATTAATACGTTCCGACTGGAAATAATCTTCGGGGATGCGAATATATTCCTGCTATCCGTTTTCAATGAGATATCGCGTTTTATATCCTCCGTCGCGCGTCATCGGTGAATTCACTCGAGAGAACTGCGATTAATGAGCGAGCAAACAAGCAGTTTTGTGTAATTACTTTCAATGCGCTGCTTAATAGTTAAAACAGTTTTAATATGCTCGCGCGTCATCAATATCGCGTGGTACTAATTCCAAGTACCCGATGTTAAGTTCTAAAGTTTTGCATGTAGGGCGGCTATCGACGCGATCGATTGATCGATCGATCACTCCCGCGGGCTCGTGCAGCGTGCATGCACGTCGGAGAGCTCGCGCAAACCGGTCGTATGCAGAATCTCGCCAAGTCAATTCGAGCGGCTCGCCGCACACGTGCCCTCAGCTTGCCTCTCTCTTTCGCTCTCTTTTTCACTCGAGCGTTCCTTTACGTTTTATTGGATATCCGGTATCTCGATCAACGGATAATTAACTGATACCGACGCGTTAACTTATTCACGACATAGAGGAAACGATAAACGATTCTCAAATAAGACGTTTTCCTTAACAAAATCAGCCGAGGTAGACAGCCAGTGTTTCTACAACTATTTTTCTTTTATTCGTAAACGTAGTAAATTCTATGTAAGAGATGTAAGAAACGATGTAATGTAAACTATGTAAGAGATGTAAGTACGAAATGAAAGTTATAAAAGCAAGATTCGAGGCTGTGTGCGTATATGTGCGTGCATGTACGTATTTATATATTAATTCGGCCAAACTCAGTTTTCTAGATTTACGACGGATTAGATGCGCGGATTTAGTAAGTTAGCCAGGTTCCGCTAAATTACCAAAACCCACCCACGATTAATTCAGGTTAACCCAAATTAACCGGTTGATTAAAGTTGACTGCTAAATTTGCGATACGCCGCGTCCCGTAATATTAAGTACTAAATAGAGCGGATATATAGAGAAATGATATTATTTTCTCGTTGTTTTGACGCTCCAGGCACTTACCCAAATAAACCGCACCTTAATCCGATCCTGAGAGCGAGACAGAGCGGCAGATATGACTTAAAATTTCGAAATGATTGACGAGCGACTCGGCTTCTACGAGCGGACGAGACGAGCTCCTGCACACGCGCTCGTTTCGCCAGCAATTATCGCATAAACGAGGGTGGCCATTAAGGCCCGCCGTCGTAATTATCCGTGCCTCGTATTACACGAGGGATATACGTATACTTAGCCCGGGTTTCTTTTTTAATAGAGCCATTTGTACGGAAAATGTTTACGCGCTCACGCATCGACAGGTGTTCTCACGATCTCGAGATTGTCGAATCGCCGGAATTAAACGGGACAACGTCGCTGCGATCATTTTTCGCACAATTCTATCAAATATATATATATTAATTTAATTTCAAATATATATATACTAATCCCGCGGATTCGCAACCGGTTGTGACGAGTAATCTTAGTAAATGCACAAAATTACAACCGTAAATCGATCTCAGAATTGCCTTATAAGTCTCGCCGCTAATCTACAAATCTTGGCAGGACCAAAGGATTGATCTCATGGCGGCAAACTGAGAGAGTTCATTATTTTTCCATTAGTCACATCTTTAGATATATTTTAAGGGAATCATGTTCTCTATGTTGGAATTGATTTTTGTGACGCATTAATCAAGTACGATAACTGCGTTACATATTTACTTGTTCAATTTCTAGAAGGAATTATAGGAAAATTTACAAAATTTTTGATAAAAAATTACAGCGTGTGTAGCTGAACGACAGACAGATCCAAATAGCTGGACAATTCGCTAATATTTTTTTACTCTGTACTTGCCGAGTAAGATTGAAGGAGATTGTACGATAAAAGGTTTACTCACTGGTCTGATTTTGGAAATACGGATCCTCCCTGTCGGTGAAAAACCAGGTCTGTAAACAGAAACAAAAGGGTATCATGTTATATTTTGATCACACACCACTGCCTTTCTCAACCGACGCGGCGCGCGCAATCGCGCTGCGGCACGTACGCACTTGATTGTTTACCACAGACCATCTCGGCAAACAACACGCACCACGTATCGATCGTAAATTCCAGTCCTTTTCTTATCCCTTCGAAGCGGGTCGCTCCATTCGCGTCAGTTACACGCAATAAATCCACTAACCTTGGGGCACTTTGCGTCGCTACGATATTTCTCCCATCTATATTCACGAAAGGCCGAAATCGCACTGACAACTTCGGGACAAAAACAAATATTCCGTAGGAAACGAGTCACGCATAATGTTCCGACTTTGCTTTGTATTTACGATTGTTTCCGATCGCGCGCCAGCAATACGTCATACAATTAAAAAAGTTTCATCGGCCACTTCGATAGCGACACTCCTGTTATTGCCATCCCGTATTCGCGGTAATAACTGCAAATTCTTTATATAATTTCGTAAACTAGAATCCCGTAGCTATGAGCTATAAAATGGTGCAAAACGCACAATATAGAATTTCTGAACGCATCTAATATTCAACAGAAAAGTTTATCTTCTGAGAAGTGAGAAACAAATTTTCCTGTTGGGTACGGTTGCGTTGCGAAAGTATTAGATAAAAAAAAATATTGCAACTTTTCTTTGCCTCTGACTATACGAGTATATATATACTTCCAATCGGAACTTTAAACTACACAAATTTCTCATGTATTCCGTCGTATTAGAAAATTTACATCAAAGTAGCGAAAGAGAAAGAAAGAGAGTGAGTTGAAACGCTTCGTCGTTACGTTCAAGCGGCCAGACGTTACGTCGTTGCCGTTGAAACTTCCCATTTGTATCTGTCGTATCGAATCTCCTTCCGTGGCAGTTGCATCTGGACGAACGTATCTCGGCGTCGTTACGTTACGATCGCCGTACACCGCACGTGTTAAAGTAGTCGCTTATTTTTAGTTCCCAAGAGTAGTTCCCTTCAGGAAGTGAACGAGCAAGAACGAGCGAAAGGGGATGGTGCTCCAGACGTCAGAAGCATTGTGTCCCGATGATTTTCACGCGGACGACGTTTCACGCCGCCGCTCGTCGTCCTAGGCCGGCCCAGGAAAAGAAAGAAAAAAAGAGACAGAGAGAAAAGGTTGAGGAATTTTCACGAGGAAATTGTCGGCGTGAGGCAATTTCGCCCGCGTAATTTTACACTCGCCGCTTTCTCCGCACGAACGACTAACAATCGCGCGAGCGGCGGCGCACTGCGGAATTACAAACTAATTATCCCGATATTTTACGTCGTCCTGACGTGCGTTCATTAAACGAGCGGGCGAATTGCGCATCGCCACCGCCGACATTCGGTCTGTTTTAATTAGAACGAAATTAAATCGCTTACCTTGGATGGATAACGGTCGGCTAACAGTGATAAATAAATCACTGCGTGATTTAATCGATGACGCAATTACCGGGCAAAATTTGGTAAAAGACGCGTAAGTCAGTCAGTCAGTCAATCGCATTGAATTCTATATTATGTTGGAATGCTAAATATCATATTAAGAAGCCAAAAGGATACAGGAGGCATAAGTACTATTTCCTTCTCTGTCTAGTGATTTCTGACTGGCCAATGATTATCTATGATCTTTTCTACAGACATCCGAGCGTACTAATTTACTTATGGAAGGTGATGTTCGAACCGTATTGTTCATAGTTTTTACAATTTTTTATCGCGCAGAACTTCAACATTCTTTTGTTTATCCTGTTCTTTCTCAGTAACACCACAATTTTATCAATTACGGAGATTACCAATGCGATGCTTGGAATGAGCTGATATTTTCAACTGGAATAGTAGTATTAGGAAAGGATACAGATAGTACTTCTCTCGGTCGCCCGTTTCCTCCTATGGCAACTAGCATTCCAGTGTAATATAGAGTTTAGTGATCAATCGCGACGCTATCCGGGGAGTTTTACCGGTAGGTCGCAAAACAAAAACGTAAACTTGAGACGCGGCTGACACGGTTCGATCACGGGTTCGACGACACTTTTCCGGATGTCGCCATGGCGGATGTCCGGGGGATCAAATGCGACGAATATAAAAATAGCGCGTGCAACGAGAGGCGTTACAATTGCGACGACAATTTATCTGAGGCATGCGGATAGAGAAAAAGAGGGAGACCGGAGGACTCGTCAGCGTTCCCAGAAAGAACACGAATATCCGGCAACGAGTGAGTACGTCGTGTACAAAAATAAGAGACGAGCGAGCGTGTGTCGCGATGACGTCAGTGGCACCGGCGTCGCATTACATCGACATAATTGCATTAATCCGGCGCGTACGCCGTACTTAACGCGCGTCGTCGTCGTTAAGCTGATCTTCGGTCTTTTCGCGGGAATTCGTTGAGTCCGCCCGAACGTTCGGTCACTCGGCTCGTGAGTCGCTTCACGTACCGCGATATAACTACCATAGTTTGTGGATATGGGGAGGGTAAAGCCGTATTAAGAGCCGCTCGTTATGTTTAATTAGGCGCGACGAATTCGTCTTGCCGCGAGGAGGAGAGTTGCACGATCGCCCCACCTACGCGAAATGAATGTCGTAGTCCGCCGGCAATCTCTGAAGTGGCGAAAATTACGAGGGAGTGTATATTGTGAGCTGCGAGTTTCGTAAAATTCGTGGCCCGTGCTTAGGAGAAAATCAATTTCCAAATTGAATAGACGTGGTCGACGTCGATCAATGTAAATGCCCGGTGAAATTCGTAACAATCGACTGAATGGAAGACAAAAAGGGCTATACAATAAATCAATGGAAGTAACTCGAGTAATGGAAGTAAATCGAGTCGACGAATTCAATTTTGAGGGCTGTATGCGGCGAACTAATCGCTTTAATCTTTTCAGCCAAATTTTGGCGTTTTTTTTTTATCTCTGACTCGTATGTAATACGCTCGGAATTTAATATCGCGAAGCGATATCTCAACATATTATCGATCGTCTGATTTATTTAACCTTCCGACTCGCCAGGGCTCTGTATCAACGATGAATTGCGACGAAGAGATGGCAATAAATCAATAAATAAGTAGAAAGAAAAATAAATTTATACGACGCTGCGAGGAAATAATTCTTCACGTCTGATGCGCGTAGATCTTACGAACCTCCTTCGTGGCACGCCGAATTCTCCACGCTCATATCGTAATCTTCAATCAGGGAGGATTGGATAAATATCGTTCAGCGGTGGCGCGTCGATTGTATCGCATATATTGGGCCAATTGAAAACTACAACCGGCGGCTCGCCGCGCACAAAAGAGGGCCAATGGAAATTAAGAGAAAATAATTCGCCGAAGCGCGAGCGAGCTCACATCGGCGCGCCGCGCGAAATTGCCTCGGGGTCTTTTAAGAGTTGCTTAAATAACCGAAGTAATCGACCAATTATCCGAAGCCAGTTCCGACCGGTGGAACGACCTTCGTAGATTGGGGGATTGCAGTATCGGCCGAGTCATTCCGAGTAACGACACCGGCTCTCGACCCACGGGATCCACAATCCGGGTCCTTTTGTGGATCACGAAAATTTGTGCCTAACCGTGTTCACACCTCGCCTAATGACACCGCCGCCTAATGACACGATAATCGGACGGCATGACTCGGTCGAATCTTAAAGAGATGGTACGAGGAAATTCCGGACGAATTTGTACTCCGGCGGGAACGCTCAGAGCAAACCCGGAGGAAAAATATCCCGAAGATTACCGGTGAGCAAAAAATAATCGAGGTAAAGTTACGGAGGTTTAATCACTGGCCGAGAAAGAAAGAGAGAAAGAAAGAGAGAGGTTGATGCAAATGAGGAGCTTCTAGAGTACGCTTAACTAGCAAAAACTGATATCTTTACTCAATCTTCAGCGTGATCTGCTTCCCCCGTTAATTTACTTCGATGGGATTTCGTTCGAGTTTTAATTGCCTACGATGTGTATAACGGTGATTAATAAGAGTCTTAAACGAACGATGAAGTCGATCGAGGAGATTATAACTGATATTAGGTGTTTGGAAAGCATTCTGCGCGGTAAACGATCGCAAGGTGCATCATTACGCGTTCTCGAGCACGCGAATCTTTGTCAGCGCTATCAAACCGGGATACATCGCCAACGAAAGACGAAGCGAAAACGATTGTTTCCGCGGTTTCCGGAAGGCGGGTCTCTCGGGAGAGCAATTCAAATGAACCGTGCAGGTATTAACGACTTGACCCCATTATCGCGTCGCATAAAATGCCGGGCACGTAAAAACGAGAAAAGAAGTAAGTGGCGAGGTGTATAAATGCGGCCATTAAAGGCCATCAACAACGCCGCGAAGGGGTAGTCGAAGGGAGAAAGGCGAATATATAGGGATCGCGCGCCGGCAGTAAACGCTCAACCAATGTTCCTCTTCAATGGAGCGCGTTATTAAAAGGCATCATCTTGCGATATACGACGTATTAATAATCAAAACATCGCGACCTACCGCTCGACGCCGTTCAATTTAGGAGAGGAACGTAGGAACGCCTTAAATGTGAACCTGTCGACCCTTTATTGAGTCTCGGGGAGATTTATTTGCCGGACGCGAGAAGAATTTACGGGCGAAAGTGGTGACTAAAGATGACAAATAAAATCGCGCGTGGGATGTTGAAATGCGAAATCGCGCACCGTCTTTTATCTTGCAGTTTCACTTTTGACCCGGCACATTATTTTCCTCAACCACTTTCCGAGTCCCTTGCAATAAAATCTCGCTCGAAACGAATGAAAATTCACTCCAAGCCGATGATGAAATTATTATATTTTAGAGTGGCTTCTTAATCCGCACGAGTGAATGTTTCAATCGGTGAGAATAAATTTTTTTCATCTGTTAGACGATGGAGCATTTCAATTTCGAAGGGAAATATTTAGTCGACGCGATTCAAAGTGGAAAATTCGCTCAATATATATAAAATCATTCGAATTCAAACGACTCGACTATCTTCGAGTGGAATTTCATTTGAAGAAATTTAGAGAGCACAACATTCATCTTGCTCGAGATTTGTAATACGTGCGCAATCTTCGCTAAGATTGCCCGTTTTGAAACCCAGAGAAATCTCACGAGCATACGATCTACATTTCCAAGGATGTATTGCCCCGCAGATAATTCGAAAAGAAGCCGATCTACATTTTCAAAGCGTATTGCCCCGTGGATAATTCGGAGCCTCGGGCAGATGGCCGAGCTCCTACCCGAGTCTATTATCTAAGCTGCGCGATAAATCACCGAACGTAAATTGGATCGTGAATTTTTAATTCCGCATGGAAAAGCAACGGGCTTCGTGATCGTTCGAGATTAACGTATCATTTTTATTTATTTTTCCTTTCATCGTTGTCGCTCGGCAAACGTGTGTACCTACTGTTTTATTAATATTTAGAACACTTCGGAATTTCAATAAAAAAAAAAAAGAAAAAAAATCAACAAACTGTATCTCTGTTTCGAAAGCAAATATTGCATTTGATTAATTGTGAAATCAAATGACTGCAAATAACGAAACGAATCGTCCGGAATCAACGCTTTTTGCAGCACAGAAATGTTCTTTCATTCGATTTATACGTACTCGCAATCCGAATGCTTTGAATTTCTGCACCAACGAAAATACGAAAGTCAATAACGATCCAGATTTTTCTCTCTTTCTCTCTCTCTCTCTATCTCTTTCTTCTCCTCTACCTCTCATCCGCGAACGAAAGCACCGTCGTTCCAGCCGATTCGCGGGATTGCGGCGCATCGCTTAATTATCGAGAAAGAAGGAACGAAAAGGTGAGTTCGTCGGGAATGCTCTCCTCGTGGGTGGACTAAGTCGGCTAACGCGGAGGTCGCCGGGGTCGGAGGTAAGTCGTGAGATCTTCCCACGAAACACAAACGACGCCGTACACACGACGCCGGACAGAGACTTTTATTATTCCCACCGCCCTTTTTCACAGCTCGCGCCGCGCGGAAAATGCGTACCGAGTCACGAGTAACGACGTACGACGCGATGAAAAAGCGTGAGATCGACGGGGAGAAAGAGAGGAAGAGAAAAAGAGAAAGTAATCAGGGGATACGAAGCGAATTAAGAGACCGCAGTGCGCCGTGAGAATTATGAGCTGTTTAAATACCGACAGTAAAAAAAAAAATTATTCTAAGATCTATTTTAGTCGAGATGAAAAATACGCGAAAAATATTCGAAAACAACCGCCTAAATTACTTTTCGTAATTTCCAACTTTGAGTCATTCGATCGCGAAGACAACAAGCGAAAAATGTTGACGCGTTAGATTGAACTAAACTTCGTTCAAGTATCACTGATGACGAATTAATAAGGATAAATATAAAAAGTCGAGAATTTTAACAGGCACGAAATTACGATGATGAACGCGTCCAATTGCAGTTTCCTATTTTTGCGCCGTGAAAAACGGGGATCAACGCACGAGATCTCGGGAGACGAGTAAGCGAATCGAGCGTGAAATCAGAAATCCGATGGACGGAATCGAGTCAGGATATTGACGAGCGACACGAGGCGGCGACTCTCGCGGACCTTCATTCCCCTTAGGAGCGTAGCAGGTGAGAGAATCAACCTTGCGGGACTACACAGGAAACGCGCGAACTCGTGCAAATCCAGGTAGCAATTACCTGGAGGGAACGGTATATTAACCCGGAGAAATACGGAAGGACGCGGGAGCCGCTGGCACACGAGCGTCGTCGTCGTTATTGCGTTATATTGTGTTGTTGTTTCTTTGTCAGGTGCAAGAATCGTAGTGATGTACGAGAAGTTCTCAAGGTTTCCTTATGGGAGTTTAATTACCGTTTCTTCAAAAAATACTAACTTCGCTGTCGATTCGTGCGCTCGTTAAAGCCGAACAGTACTTAATTCCTCCTCGTAAGTGTGTAAATTATGGAGAATTATACTCGAATGTAATTGCAACGATACACGATAACGTAAATTATATACATGTTTTGAAATACATGTTCGAAAGAAGAAGAGAGAGATGAGAGAGATATCGACTTCGTGCGGCTGGAACAATTTAGAAAGCGTCGGATCACCGGCGGTTCGTACATTTATTGATTCACGTATAAATATAGAAATTCTCGCGTTTCCTCCTCGGGTTCTCGTGAAATATAAGTCACCGCTGAAAACGGCAGTTTCCGACTTTAAATCGATCGCATGGCCGACAGTATTGTTCCCTTTCGGTTTGAAGTGTCAACTTTTTGCCAAATTTCCCGCGAATCAAGATTCACGAATTACGCGAGTACTTATGCGATTATTTACGAAGGTAACGGATGAGAGAGATCGCGCGCGGGAAGGAGGAACGGAAGGAGTCCCATTCCCACGGCGTGAGAGCTCGCGAATTCATCGAGCGGATCTTCGGCGACACGGTCTCTGGTGAAGTACGCGCGAATACGCCTCAGTCCACGCGAATACGCTTCGATACCCTCGGATAGGGCTCAACGAGTCGTGCACAAAGTGTGGCCTATTCTGCTCCCCGGGAAAAGCGTGTAGATGAATCTCTCGCGCGGCGATGAAGGCGCCGCGATAAGACTATGCGTACATTTATCACGCCTTAACACGATTAACCCTGCTTCCTCTTTTACGAGTGATGATTCCCGTAAACTTCGCGAGTATCCGCGATTGTTACGAGCCCGTTATACTCCCGAGATACCTCGCTCTAATTCTTCATTATGCGAGATGCCTCGTTATTTAATTAATCGATGATAATTAAAATAGCGGGCCTCGTATTATTTAGCTGCGCCTCTCAATTACGCAACGTTCACATGTTGTTATTTATATTGATATAAATATCGTAAATATATTTACGTGTAATAAATTTCATACGATGTGACAATTTTATCTAAGTTTCACGTAACATTTGTATATCAATACTCGATCGCATGCTACTTGTACATAGGTTCAATATCTCGGGTCGTCTTAAATCTAAAATCAGTAGTTTATTCTTATCAGTAACGACGAGAATCTGTAGTTGCTGCACAGGATGCCCGATCAGTATGATATTTCGAAGGGAGATCTTGCTCTATATGTAACATATTTCTTGAGGTATGATTTCAACTTTGCGACATTTCAATATTTAACGCATTATAATATAACATATAACATTCAGAGTCGACGAACGAGGATATTATTACTCACGAGTGTGAAAGATACTCATGAAAAGTTAACGAAAGTTAATGAAAAGTTATTATTAAATACGCTCACCATGAGCGAGCAGAGGAGCCAGTTGAATCTGATTGACCCCACGATTGGCGGTTCAGCGCAGACCCGCGATGATTTTAACAATGACGCGATAACATTTACGAAGCGAGTGAAATTAGCTCGTCGCGCAAAGTGGATAACGTTGCGAAATATCGAATACCGGAGTATCGGATGATATTTCGAACACGACGCGCTGTGTTCATCGTAAAGCAGCCATCCTCGGAGCCAAAAAACGGGGCGAGCAGCTCCGATCAATCCGAGATATCGAAATTACACGGGTCCACGAGGCATGGCGGGGCAGAAAATGGGGCTCACCTGATTCTTGGCGAATTGAAACCACGTGGCGATGATGACCGGCAAGCGCGAGTGATGATAGTGTTTGGTGGTCTTCACGCTGATAAACACGTCGTCGAGGTTCGTGGCGTACGGTGCCATCGTCGCCGTCGCCACCGGCGGCGTCACCGGCGGCGATTCCTCGCTGATTATCCTCCTCGACGCGGGTGCTTCCACTATCACGCTTCTGCTCACTTCCGCGACGTTAACCTCGTCGATCCACTGTAACGAAACAAATGCATTAGCGAGAAAAAGGCATTAGCAGTCAATATCATCGGGTATGTTCGCTTTAACTGAACTGTGTTGCGCTGAAACTTCATTTTCCTTTCACTGCTAGATTATGCATTTGTTTCATTCTAAGGGCAAAAAGAGTACAATCCAGCTATCGGCTAAAACAAACAAACCTAATTCAAGCTATGAATGTGCGGACTGCTATGTCGATTTCTATTGTTTCCAGAATCGAGATCTCTGTCGTAGCCATGGAATCATCTTCTTCAAACCCAAACTAATCGTACCTTGTATGTAACTTAACGAGACGCAATAATAGATCTGTTCTTTTCCGCCCAACTGTGTGTACACTTATAGAACTTAAACAGAACCCAGATAACATAAGACGTCCTAAGACGTCGTAAAGATGTCTTTTAGATATATGTGTTGTTTGGGAGACAGATATACAGTTAAGACTTGGTGAGAGAAAAAGGAAAGGATGCAACTGACCCGAAAACGAAAAGGAACAGACCTGACATCGCGACATCGATGATTGCACTGCATTCAACGGTTAAACATCAACGGCTCTTGAAATTCATTTTCTAACCGTAATCGCCGCCTTAAGAACATTCACGCACTGTTCGCGTATCATAAGTTATCGCGTCGACTGATGCTTCGGAGGACGAGGAAAACACGAGATCACCGGAGTTTCGCGATGAGAAACCCGCGAGAATCTCCGCACAACGGAACATCCGACGATCGCCGATACTACGCGACGGTTAGGCTAACTTCACGTTCCACGCTTTCATCCTGAAAGCGTCGTTCTGTCTTCATTTCTCATTACATGCTGAAGGAAGATAGAACAGCTGAAAAAAAATCGTAAAGACGTCTTCGAGGCGACTAAGACGTCTTTCAGATATATACGTTGCGTGGGAAGCTTTCAGCAGGAAAGCGTGCAGGACGAACTTGGCCTTAGATGGTCCGTCGTGCGAGGGCACGCGCGCCGCGAGATCGCCGTCAACCACCGTCGACGATGGCGAGGATAACAAGCGATAAGGATCTCGTCCTAATTACCTGGCGCTGTGCGACAGCCTGATAGAGCAAGATCGTGGCGTAGGAGGTGGCGAGCACGAGCACCAACGCCTGCAGACCGCGTCTCGTCGGCAGACTTCGCGACATCATGCCGGCGGCGACGGCGGACTCCGCGCCGATGACGACGCTGGTGGTGTGCGGCGAGTGAAGGCGCGAGCAGCTACCGGCGAACCTACTGGACCACCCTTGTTCGGCAATCGCGAGCTCCGCGCACCTATCGTCCCCGGGATTCACCTGCGGCCACGGCAGCACAGCATCGCTGCCCTCCTTTCGTCTCGCGAACGAAAACGCGCCGACCATAACACCACCGGCCAATTTCGTGTTCTTCCCGCGCGGTCACGTGACGACGACCGTTCGCGAACTCGACGTCGCGCGAGACACTCTCCTCTTATCTCCCTTTTCGCCCCCCCTCCCCCCCGGTGAATCTCGAACGTCCCGTCGATTCCCGTCCTTCAGATCGTGCTCACGATGTGTACTCGCGACTCTGCTGATCGACGCGCCATTCGGCGCCGAGTATCGTATCAACGCGGCAAACGGAGCGACAATACCGCGGGCGGCGATGCAAAGCGACACGAGGCGCGCGCGCGCCACCCCCGACGCAGGTCACGTGTCCCCGCGTTACAAAGGTCAGTGCGAGTCGAGCCGGACACTTTCGGTAAGAGGCGACTTGGACCCGACCGTTTTCATCCTCGCGACACGCTTCATTCCGTGATTACAACGCGCAGTGACGCGATCCCGTCGCGCTCCCGGTTTTCCAGTCCGAACGATGTTCAGAGAGAGCGAGACGCCGGTAATTTACTCACTTCAAGCGTCACGACTGGTTCACATTTGCGCGCGACTATTTAAAACGTTCGACACCGAGCGTGATCAAAGTTCGATCAGAGCTGGCCGCGCACGACGAGACAGCGTGCTTCGCGTTTCGTCGAAATCGAGCTGTCGGGAGCTGTCAACGCTCGGAGAGTAACAGATCGCAACGCGAAACACTGTTCGATTCTCTCGCACACACAGCACAATCGCTCACTGCTACCCGGCGCACGACGGCTCGCCGACTGATCACATGAGCCGTTGCCGTGACTACGCTGTAAACATCACCATAGCAGGCACGTCGCCGGTCGGCCGCGCGGGAGGGGAGAAGAGAGCGGAAGAGGGGAGAGCCAGCAAGCGTGCAGTCGCCTGAGGGAGGGGGCAGATCGAGAGGTGTATACACCGGCGTAAATCGTTCTCCTTCAAATCGCAGCACGCGACCGACCGACGACGGAATGCTCCGAAAAAGCACACCCCCTTGCAGATCGCGTTCGAACGAAAACGTACGCTAAACCGTCGCATGTGAAACCCATCGGGTTTCGCTGTAACGGTGCTCTGCGGACAATTTTCTCAAATTTCTCAAATTTGTCTCAAAAAATTGTACATTGAATTTTTCGAAACATACAAATCAAGAGGCTAAAATTCGCAAAATATTCTAAAAATACATAATTCAGTGTGTTATTTTAGTCGGTTCACATCAGTCCGGGAATAAGGCTTGAATTCCCGGGGAAAAAAGTTTATATATAATCATATAAAATTATATATAATTATATGTGTTATATATATATATATATATATATATATATATGAAATTTGTCTTTATATGGCTACAAATGTAATTATATATGATTATATGTATATAGGCTTATATAGAGATCAAATTCATATATAATCATTTTTTCCCGAGTTTATATTTGCTGAACATATAAGTATTTAGATATGTGTATAAAAAGAAGCGTTAACTAAATATTTCCGAACAGCGACTTTGCAAAGAGTGACTTTTATTTCCGCCCATTCTTTTGAATATAATCGGACATGGTCGAGATCAATTGAAAGCTTATGTTCTCTATATCGTTTCAATGTATTCCGAAATGTGCTGACAATATAAATTTATAATTCATTTTACATAACCCAAACAGCACCTAAACACAAAACCTAAACCGGAACATAAGATATCTTTAAGACATCTTTAAGACGTCTTAAAGTGTCTTTAAGATGTCTAGATATCTTTAAGACATCTTAAAGATGTCTTATGTCCTGGTTTTAAGTTTCGTACTGTCTGAGAATATATACATATTCAGTCTGAGAATATATACATATTCAGTCTATTAATTAACACATTTTAGGACGTAACAACATCAAGTCAAATCAACAAGGAAACGGACGACATTAATTTGCAACAATGGAATCGGTAAATTACCTCACGGTAATTAACCTACGGAAGACGTAAATTATGTACCAAGAAAAATAATCAGCCGACTTACTGTCCTCAAGAATCTTTCCTACTACTTGACGTGATAAGTGAGTGATAAATTATAGTTTACGTAATCTACCGGAACTATTTGTATTCGGGATCTACCCTGCCCCCACCACCACTGCTCTACTCTCAGAATGAAGTTTTCGAAGACAGTTTAAACAAGGACAGTCGCAGTGAATAGTCAGGATCCTTAAGAAGATGCTTCGGTCAATTTAGTCTAACAAGTAAAAATTTTCTGGAACAAGGCAGATGTTGACAGATTTGAAACCGGCAGATTCTTTTTCAGTGTTTCAAAAACTTTCAATTGGTATCGATCTCAACTGTGCCCAATCGTGTTTCATAGGCGGGACAGAAAAATTACTACATTTTAAAAATCACTTTTCATAATAAATTTAATATTTCCCGTCTGATTTATCGAAGCCATTTTAGATACAGAAATATTGGATTTTGCATTAATCACGTATCTGCAAATATTGGACTTATTCCATCCTAGAATCATGCTGAATCATGATGAATTACTTCAATCGCACGCACTTTAATATCGCCCGCTAATAAATTGCGATATTATCAACAACGTTGCACATTTTCCCTACATAAACAAAACTCTCCATATCCGCCAAGTATCCAATGTCTTAGTCAGTGTGGGAGGATATAGCAGAAAGAAGAGAAGAGGATTTACACAATATCTTGTAGAATACAAAAGATAATGCACATACATACAATGTATTTAACAATATCAAACTACAAAATCCACTAGAGATATGTACGAAATTAATCGATATTGTTACGTGTTATCGGCAAAACTCTGGAAATTGAATTTGCTTACAATATAAAATTGGACGTCAATATTTCTCGAAGTTCTGCGTATAAAAAGTATGTATATTTAATACATAATCATCGATGTCGCTGTAGGGTATGATTTTTTTTTATAACCGCCATGCCTTAGAAATTGATAGTTGTAAAAAGACTCCGAAGTTCAATTAAATATTAAATAATTTCACAATTATCATTAGCATTATAGTTTAACTTTACAAAGCATGTGTCACCAACTTGATGTCCAGATTTTTAAAATCTAAAAATGTACTTTTCGTGATGTGTGACGAAACTAAATCATAAATTAACTAAAGTTAAACATTATCTGTACCGCTCGATTTCTGGTGTTTTTTTCAAAATGCTACAGGTCACCGTCGGTAATACCTACAGTCGAGCTCATCGACCAGAAAATTGTCCACAGATCCCCTCCAACATGCGTATCAAACATCGATATATTCTCTTACTTTATACAACGCATTACGCATGTGTGCAAAATGATCAACATAATTCATCGTTACCAATTAATCATTTCGCAAATATGCGACAGGATTAGGTGAAAAGATTGCGTAGATCGTTTTATTACAATACTTAGTTAAAATGGTATTTACATTTGTACATGATTCAATGCATTTGTCTCATACGAAGAAATTACATGTAATTATAAATACTATAATACTTATAATTACTGTAAGTCGCATGTGTCAGGCATTACTGGGCAATTGATATCTTGCAGGATAATTGAAATTAAAACCTTTTCGCAAATAGCCTGTTTGTAAAATATTCCTCTTTTTCTGGAGAAATATCATACAAAGAGACTAAACTTTCTTTAAAATGGTTACATCTCGAAAAATCCTGCAGCAGACGTATAAAATTAAATGGATAGGTATATGATAAATATTCAATCGTTGCAATAATCCTTCCACCGTCGCACTGATCGAAGAAATCAAAGAATTTTAAGTAAATATTTACTCGGCAAGATGTGCCGCACTTACTTAATAGCGTTTCAGATAAATATGCATCAAATAAACTTCATAATAGCAGCCGTATACTGCGTATTATGGGTCAATCCATGCATCTTCCTCAACATTACGTTATTTATTTACGTAGCTCTTTGCCGCAAAAGAACTATACTATTATACAATTTAATAGCATGTCCTAATCGTAAATCCAATAGCGTTACCATATCTTCTTGCGTCAACATCAGAAATGCTTCACCATCGATATTCTGTAACATAACGATAACATAATAATTGATAACAATAATATAGCGATGCCGGTTATTACAGCATATCACAATCGCTAAGGGACTTACATGCTTTCTGAAGACCGTGGCGATATCCTTACAATTAGGAACACTTTGTATAAATTTAATGACTTCTTCGGTGGACCACCGTCGTGGATTCGTATTCTGCTTAGCTACTACTCTATTTAAGGCATTGCTATGTTTTGCCCATACATGCGGTGCGTCTGGTAACGGATTGTATCCCGGGTTATACACAGATTGATACAATTCTGTACGCAGCTGTTTGTCCGACATAATGCCCGAAGCATACGGGGTAGGGTGCCATGATAAATCGCTATACGTAGCATTTGAAACAGTAAATAACTGTTCTTCCGAAACATGACGTCTAAAAATAAAATACATATTTTAACAACGGGCTGTAATTATATATATATATACACATGTATCAATAAATTCGAGATGAAAAGTCGAAGTAACAAACCTTTTCTTTCGCTTCCTCGGAGCTTCATCGTCGTCTGTCTGTCCATTGGACTTGCATGACCTGCGAAACGAAAAAATGATATCAGTAAATGTGTATAACGTATAATCATGCTACAATTGTAAGTCACTGTTGCAAGTATCAAAACATACTTCTCGGAATTTTCTGACCTATTTTCGCTTTTATCATTTTTGTCAGATGAGTCTCCGTCTTCCTGTTTAATGTCTTTCTCAATCAACAATATCCTGTCGTCTGAAAACACAAGTTTATCGGACTTCTCAGGTTTCTCCATTTTTATCTTATCAGTCTTCTCTAGTCTTGTCTTATCTTGCATGTCATCCTCGAAGTCACAGGTCTCGTGCTTCGTAAAATTAAGTCTATCGGACATCTGCCTCAGTTTATGAAGATTTTGAGGCGAATACGGGCAGCCGGATGCTGAATTATGCGTTGCAAATTTCGGCCCTTTTATGTGTCCTATACCTCGACAGCCATATGTACCGCATTCCGGACGATCATTCAAATTATCCGGTGCTGCGTACAACAAGGAAAAAACATGCATCAATAATATTGTGAATGCATTATAAAATATGCCCAAGTACAATATATAAAATATACAAGTACAATATATAAATATATAAAATTGTATAAAACAAAGTTAAAACGTTAAAGTTTAACGGTACAAAGTTAAATGGTAACTCACTAAGTGGAGGTTCCAGCGGATGACCTGTCTTCATGCACCAACCCACAGGATGAATATCCGATGAATCATCGTCAACCCAATAAGCGTGACTCTCGGGCCAACCGTCGAATCGTATCTTCAACCTGTGAAAAATAAAAATATCTCATGAAACAGGAGCACAGAACGAGAGAGATAAAGAGGAACAGAAAAAGAAAATCAATTTATACAGACATGTGGCCTTTAACATCTTCGACCGTTGCCACTCTGATTAACTGTGGCACTCGTTTGTCCACCGCTTCCAGTTTCATGCCACGTTTGAACCCGCAAGGCGCACGTTGCTTGAACGCTCTAGCAGGTGCCGCCATCATTCGCGTTTCCTTCAGATACGCGTCCCACGTAAAAGACTTCGGATCCTTGTAACCTGATTACACATATCACAATTACATGAATGAAGAAATAAAAAGAAACGTGAATTATGCACACAGTTAATTAACAAGGATCCTTACTATTCGGCGGAGTCAGGCTGTGGCCATGATGATGACACCATCCCACGGGGTGAATATAAGGCGAGCTTGCGTCGGCCCAATAGTCGTACACTTCGTCCCAAGAATCAAAATGCACTAATATCCGAGAGTCCATCAAACCAGCTATACTAGCCACGCAGACTAACGACGAATGCTTTCTGTCTACCGCCTCTAACTTCATGCCCACTCGAAAGCCCGTGGTGAAGACAGCCTGCAACGCACTTTTGTTTGGAAATATGTTCTTCGCCGCCGCGGTCGCCTTGCAGACTTTCAGATACGCGTTCCAGTTGAAGTTACTAGGTACGTAACCCTTTGGCGGATCCAATCGATGGCCGTTCTTCTCGGACCATCCAGCGGGAAATATGTCCATGCTATCGGCATTTACCCAGAAATCGTAGTTTTCCGGGTAACCGTCAAAGTGAAGACGCATGCGATAACCTGATAAAATGGTATATACAAAATTTATATGTATAATATAAAATATACGCATAATATGCACATAGTATAAAATATATATCACAAAATATATATAATATTAATTTAAAAATATAACATTACAATACATATAACAAATAAGATTAATAATTAATATTATACGGTTACATATTAAGGAGAAAGTAATCCTGATAATTTTGTCAAAAATCCTTATTAAATTATAGTGATGTCAATATTTGTTTTAATCAAAGTAATTACCGTTGGAATCTACTACCTTTTGTTACTTTTAAGACAAAAGTTGGATTCCATGATGATAAAAAGACAGTTCTTTGAAGGTTAAAAAAAAAAGATATCGATCCAATTCCGCATTTTGATTTCGTTTTTAAAGCGTTATCTTTTCAGGCTCTGCTACATTGACCGAAACAAGTGATAGTCGGAAAGCGTGATGTCTGGTGAGTAGGCTGAATGCGAGAAAACTTCCCACTTCGAGTCCGTCAGAATGTCTACAGTTGTTTTCGTAATATAAGGCGAGCGTTGTTATGTTGAAAGATAACCTTTCATCGAGTTCAACTGTATTGTAGGCGTTTCTCGAGCAACACTGCCTCCAAACGACGCAATTGGCTATTATATAGAGCTGAGAAGTGATGATTTGACCCGGTGGTAACAACTCATAATACAGTATATTTTTCTCGACGCAGAGAAAAAGTTTCCTGTCATGGATGTTGCGTTTTGAATCATTTGATGTCATATTCCGAGGTTCACCCATGCTCGTCTACGATTGCGATTATCAAAATAAATTCATTTTTTGTCTCCAATAATAATACGGCTCAAGAAACACTTCCGTTTGTAATGGCAAAACACAAGTGAAATATAGATAGTGTAACGGTTCAAAATTGTTTCTGGAGATAATACATGTGCCATCTATGTTTCTTCTGAATCTCACCTAATGCTTTCAAACGATCTCAAATAGTTTCGGTTCACTCCGAGCTGTTTCGCGAGATCGTAAGTGGGATGAACCGAATCCTGCTCCAATAACGCCTTCAAATCACTCATTTTCATCATTAGCCGTCCGACGCGTTGTCTTGCAGTTCAAAATCATTACTTTTGAATCGTCTAAACTATCTCTCACAAATATCGCCTGACACTGCATTGCCCCCGTAATCCTCACAAATCAATCTTTTCGTTTCAATTGTACTTTTATTTCAATTAAAGAATGAAAGATTGCCGAATACATTGATTTTTTAATGGTATTTTTAATCAAAGTAAATAAACAAATGATGGCACAATATAATGTGCCATTTGAAATTAGAATAGGCAACCTTTAAAAATCAAAAAAATTTGCCAACGTAGATCACTTCCGTTACCTTTATCGCCATTTATTGGTCACTCGTAGTCTGTTCTTTATAGCTGAATTGGCTGTACTTGTTCAAGAAATTTACATATACATTGAAACATGAAGCGTACGAACAGAATTCTCATGCTTCAGTGTATGTAAGTGCAGTAAATTTCTCAAACTAACGCAGATAATTAAATTACAAAGAATAGGGCCCAAGATTACTTTCTCCTTAACCTAATATATGTATATATTAAGTCTGATAACCTAATATATTTATTATATATTAATAATATATGTATTATATATATATATATATATATATATATATATAAATATTATGATTGATAACTTGCCAACAACTTCAACAATCGTCAGAACACAATATCGGGAAGGACGTTCCGGATCTATTCCTTCCAATTTCATTCCTACTCGGAAATGATTTTTGGTGTACGGGAAGGGATCTTTGAACAACTTGACAGGCGCTGCTTTCGCTTTGCAATGATCCAGATATTTTGGCCATGAAAAACCGAGTTTCCCTTTTTGCCAAGGATACTGCACATAACACAATATAAATCGAAATTAATTATGATATTTTACTTTAATTATTTTACGACACGTTAGTAAAATATAAAAATTTTTAATTCCATCTATACGAAATTCCTACTTTAGACTCAGACGAATCTCCTCCTTGACTCTCATCATCCATTCCTGCTATTGCATTCTCCTCATCCGTCTCGATCTTGTCATGCACTTTCTCATCAGACTTTTCATCCATATCTTTTGTCCATTGCTGCTCTTGTAACAATCTCTTCCGTTTCTTCTTTGCACGTAAGTCTCTATGTAAACGTTTATATAAAAATAGATTTTTCTTACAATTTCTTAATTATATTACATCTGTATTTTGAAAGAAAAAAGCTCTATCCATTTATTGTTCTTTCAATTATGAAAAAATCTTACGATTTGTAAATACCCCAATAGGACATAATCATTTTAATCATGTTAATCAAATAACACTTTAAAGAATAGTTGAGCTCAATAAACTTTTATATTCTGAAACATTTCTAAATTGGCCACGTTTTTCTTCCAATGTAGAGATATACTATTAAAAGTTATATGCACNATATATATATATATATATATATACACATACACGTACTTCATATCCTTATCTTTCCGATTTGTAGACGGTTTTTTAGATTCTATCAGTTCTGTGCAAGAAGGACCACATGATATTGGACTCTCAAACTCAGCAGCCAATCCGTAACATCCACAACCTTCGCAATGATACATTGTATCCGCAGATACAGATCTGGATTTTTTATCATCAGCTAAAAATATAAATAAGTTTTATTATATTGATACTTAAATAAACATATTTATATATTACTATTAAATATAGTTTGTAATTTACTTTTTTTCTCCACACTAGCATTGTTAATTGTGCCAGGACTGGATTTGGAAGAATTTTGCGTCACACATACGTTTTCCTTGTCACCAATACCATCCTTATTCTGTTTACTACTTTCATCTTCATCTACCACTTCTATAAAGCCAAACTCATTCATACGGAACTAGATGAATAAAAAAATAGATTATTCACATACCTATATTCGTGCATGTATAAGAATTTTTTAATAATGTTACAGGAATGTGTGATATTTAATTATAGTAAATAGCAAATGTTCAAATTTTTATATAAAACACTGTAAGTTATTTTTTACGGATATTACTGTGTACCTGTAAATTACTGCCTGGTAAGGTACCAACCCCGTCTTTCCAGTCTAAAACTTTGCTCGCATCGAAATTCGAATCGTTTTGATGCAGAGTGTTTAAGTAGTCCTTCGTCTCATCACAATTATTATTACTTTTCGCTTCATTTTTATTGTCAGTCACGACTTCAATGCTACAACCACCACTACAACTTGTTGGTGTTTTAATAATTTCTATTTTCACATCATCGTCCATATTTGTGTTAAGTTTCGAGACTTTGTCCTCGCCAGGGACGACTTTAATCAATGTAATGTCGTCATCGTTCTGAACTTTCTTATCTTTGTCTTGTTCGGATTCTGGGCTACTCAGCGCGTAATTAACATCAATTAAACTATCTTGAGGAGATTTTGGCAGACTTTGCTTCTTCATCCGTTTCTCGCTGGAACCCCGTAATATATTGCTAATTGTCTTTTTTCGCTTTTCTGGTGGATTATTATCTTCTTTCTTCGGAATAGGCGTAATTACAGCTGAGTCTGGATTTTCAGTAATTTTAATACTATCTATGGAATTAGAGCTGCCTTTATTTGCATTTAGTAAGCTCATCTTCGCTATAGGATGCAATGGTGGCGGCAGAGATGTGGAATTGGATGTTTTTGACTCACGTAACACTAGAATGAAAAAGGCGATAAAAATTAAATTTCACTTGGACACAGCACGATTATTAGAAATTAATGCTGATTAATTTCTCAACAGCTTATTTTCATACCTGTTATGGTTCCTTTGCTTTCCGAATTAAATGGACCAGTGGCAGCATTAATTTTCAAATTAAACATACTCGGTTTTGTAGACCCACTCTGCTGAGGAATGGTCACTGGCAATAACAAGTTTGCCATATGTTTAGAAGACTGACTTTGAGAACCAGTTGTGGTACTCGTTGATGTTTGAGACAGCTGAGATATTACTGGAGCGATTACTAATTTTGGTTTAGTAATTTGAGTTGTTGTTAGGGCCCCTATTTAAATAAAATACCAAATAAATAATAAATCAATCAATCAACAACACTGTAAAGAGTACTACTACTAACTATAAATAACTTTTCATGAAGAAATAATTAATATTTCCTCTTTTCTCAAAAGTATTTTGTCCATTCAAATAGAACAAAAGAATATTTTAAATGGATAAAAATTACATAAATTGTAAAATATCTTTTTATAAAATTACAACATTAATTATAAATGACCAAAAATTCATTTTTTCAACAATATTTTTTATTAATTTTTATTAAGATTCTCGTAATATATAATTAAAAAATCAATAGTGTAAAGTCAATAAGAGCCGATACCTGATAACAGAGCAATTAAATTTTAATAAATTTTAATCAATCATGCAAATATTCAAATCATGCAAATATAATAAGATATAATATCATTCAAATGTTTTCCTATTCTTTCGGCCCTCTTCAGTGAAATAATTAGTCGCACACACTATTGATGTTTTTAATATTTTTTTATCTCAGTGCTGTCAGATTATGTAATATATATTAATATATAATTTATGATAATTTTTAATGTTGCCATTTTATATTATATAAATTAAAAAATTATAAAACCATTCATTTTTCAATTATTTTTTAAATCTATAAGATACAAAAATGCATTACCTGCAGGTATAACAACAGATTCCCGTGATTTGTTAGGCTTAATGAGAGTCCCCAAATACGCAAACGTGTGTTTTCCTGTTTGTGCATTGGACTGACTACTTTGATTTGTATTCAGAGGCACAATCTGTGCAGTAGATGTCGCTGATTTTCTAAGTAATATGTGTTTTTGTGCCTGTGGTGTCGTTGTAGAACTCACACTATTCATGGGACGGTGAATTACAATATGTTGCTTACTTTGAGATGTTGTAACCTGACCTGAACCTTGTATAAACACTTTATTTTGTCCGGTAACAATCTGAAATAAAAATACATTTGCTGTTTAACGTCAGAATAAAATAACAAAAAATCTTTATCTTCTTTCATTTAGAAAGTTTTAAAATTGATTAATCTATGTCAATTTTGGTATAATTTTTAGTTTATATTGCAAGCATCACTAAATTAACTAGAATACTTTGTAAATGTGTATGTGTATATCTCTATATGTGTCAATATATTTAGTACAGTAAAGTAATACTTAAAATCTAAATCAAATATCACAGAATATATTCAGGTTTAATAGTTCTGAATATTTAAATTTATACTTTTCACAAGAAAACTCATTTAATTTCTACACATCTCTACTTAAGTTTCACTATATGTGATGTCTGTTGACCAAATCTATATTTACTGAGGAGATGCACCAGTCACTGCCACCTACACATGGAGTCTAATAAGGCTCCATCTAAGAACAATGTACATGTGTTGTACTGAATATGAACTATATTTAGTGCTGTCATATTTTACTCCAGGGGCATGTATATGTGCAATATAATATAATTCACTAAGAAATATGCCTTGAATTTGAGGTTATTATGAATAAGCTAATCGTATTCTTTGTTCTTTTGTGTAATGTTAAAGCGCTTATATAAGGGACATAAGTAAGGAATATATATATATATATACATAATAACAGGTATATATTAATAATTTACTCAGAATGATTTTTAACTTCTCCGTAAACATAAGTAACAAAAAGCCTACACAATATTGCACAAAATAATATAAATGTGTGTCTTGTGCAAAGAACAGGTAAAGGCTTTTAAAAGTTACCTGGTAAAGGCTTCTAAAAGTTACCTGGTTGTTTACCGGATTAATAATAGCAGCAAGTTGAGTACTAGGTGAAACAATAGTTTGATTCGCATTTGTTGTTTGGCGTTTACTTTGCTGAATATATAGCAGAGGTACTACAGGTGTTGTTGAGTCGTCCATCTGCTGTGTTTCAGCACTACTATTCTCATCTACATCATCTACTACTATTTCTTCTTCCATTCTGTTAAAAAATAGGTCAGTATGTTATAACCAATTATGACCCTTTAACATTGCAAAAAGAAACTCCTCAAATATTCATATTCATAAAACGGAAAATCCAAAGGCAAAAAGCTTGAAATGATTTTCCACAAATCGACAATACATTAATTGTAATAAATCAAAAGCGAATTTTCTATCCTGTTATTTCCATCTCACCAAGTCAAAAAATTACAAAATTATAAAGAAATGTATCCATTTGCGTAAAATATGTCCGATAATAACGCAAACATGTCAATTTGGACGGTTTTATCTTATCGCAAAATTAATCGAAACGTAATACTCCATTTTCGCAACGTAGTCTAATACGCGGATCCATTAATTAAAAGCAAGGTGCGAGAATGTGTACAGCATGACGAACCTAGTGGACATGTTGTTAGCTTTTCTCGGTATAAATCACGTCCCTACTAGATTACATAATTCGCGCGGAAATGAAATTCTCAGTTCGTTAAGTACGCGATCCGCTTGTGGCGAGGAATTCGTCGTGCGAATTCGCGCACTGGAACGTCCGTTCGACGCACTCGTCGAGAACAAGTCCGAAAGTGCAATTTGAATAGCGCGCCGAACTTATTCTCACCGAGAGGCACAGCAGTCACGTTCAACACATTTCAACGCTTTGAAAATCCACACCGTGCACACCGGGATTGCACGTAAGCCACGTTCTAGGCGACCGGGCGCACAGCCTAGCGCGAAAGATAGCAGCCACCGGGATTCGTCGTTCAAATACTTTTACGAATCCGTCAGTCGCACGCGAGAACACCACTCACAGAGACGAAGGAGGCAACGTATGTATACACTCACGACACTTTTCACCGGAATAACGCCCGCGCGGCCAGTTCCGCGGCGTGATCCTCACCGTCCGCGACAGCCACCGTTCTCACCCCGTGAATTTACCGTCCGGCAAACGCGGGGGAAACCATCGCGGCGCCTGGACGCCTTTAACAAAAATCTTCACGTATCTTTTGAGCGTTCGAGCCTCGACTTCGCGTACAGCTACGACCCCATAGGCCAGAAACGCAGTGGCGACGGCGCGGCAGCCCGCTCGCCATTGGCCGGTACGCGTCGCACAGTGGACGGATGCAGCCCGGCCGGCCAATGGGGGGCGCGCAAGTGCCTCTACATACCTAATTCCGTTCGGACCTAACGTTACGCGTCGTCGCGAGAGATTTTTCAAGAGGGGCAAAATCCTCGCTGCTTACGTTCCGCCGAATTATCCCGCGGGCCGTCGCGATCCGCGCGTAACTCGCCGCCCGGGAGAGCCACGCGAACGTTTGTACCTGCGCCCGACTTCGGATTTCACCTCCCGCGCAAACGTCTTTGTGAAAAAAGAAGCACCACGACTGGCGTCGACTACATTTTGCAAACGCCAACGTTTGCACCGCACGACGCCTCCTCGCACACACCAGCCGTTAACGATCGATCGAGGCGCGATCGATCGGCCACATCGCGAACATCGAGTTTCGATTAATTAGCAGATCGGACAATCGATGCAATTTCAGACTGTTCCAGACGCCACGGGTATGCGATTTCGCTCCCTCGTTACCTTTTCCTTTCTGTAGCACCTTTCGGCTGCACTTGCCTACACTATCTGCCCTTGAAACAAAATGAGCGTGCCCTCGCTGTCTCGCCACGGGCAGAAAGTGAGGCACGTATATGTTAAGTATGTAAATGTATGTAAAGTGCAGTTGAAAGAAACAAATCTTACGCTCATCTATGGCACTAAACGGCCGATAATGATATGCGATGCATATTATATATATCGTAACTACAGCACCGACGAAAAAAATCACAAGATAGTTGTAAGTAGAGATCCGATTTAACACTGTTTTAACTTGGTTCTTCCCGCGATTGTGTATCTTTTTCTACTCTTCTCTCGTCTCTCTCGTCTCTTCCCGGAGGAAACTACGAGCAGATGATACGGTATAATATTTATTGGTAACTTTAGTTAACAAGTACACAGAGCCGTAGCAAGAGGCTGACAAACTGGGCGGCTGTCAGGGCCGCAGTCTACAAAGAGGGCGCAAAACATAATCGAGAACATTGATTGCGTTCAGCAAAACAAAACGCACCACGTGCTGATTGGACATGCAGTTCGAACGACCTTAATATTTTGTGGAGCGTTCTTATGTTGGTAATGTCGTTGGTAAACAGTGATCAACAGTCAACACTTTCGAACACTCTCGCGCTCAATACGTCGAGCATTTTCGGCTCGCTAAAAATGGCGACGGCTGAGTAAACGTATTGCAGCGCCGCAGGCTTCTCGGTACCGTTCGGTATAAAATCACTAAATGAAAAAAGAAAAAGATGATTGAAAACAGGTGCGTCTCGCTGAACACAATCATTGCCAAGTTGGTCACTGTCAACCGTTCCACCGTTACCTCTTCTACGTTAGTCGCATTCGTCGGTATCTTAAAAATAACAAGAAATCGTCGAGCGTGCAATATAATAATAGCATGTTTACGTTATTACGCATATTTCGATCGTACGAAACTCGTTGAATCGCATCAATCGAATACCGCAATTATCTCGAGTAGTGTTCTTTGATAATTCAATTTATCGGCGAATATCGCTGATAAAAAGTACAACTACAGATAATGTATCACAGGACGTTAGAAAGTAGAAATAAATTAGGCAGGGACGCCGACTGGATTTGTTACAACTCGGAATGAAAGTATTTTACAACAGGTAGCGATTCTAAATACTTTCCTCAATTTCGGATGACTTGGCAGCTACAAAGTCACGACAGTTTGTTACTTTCGAATCCGCTCGCAACGCTCGTAAACGCGACGACGTAAATGCGATCGATACACGTTGGAAGGCACGTCTGTAGTTTTCGGCGCGAACCGTAACGCGATTTAAGCACGTTGCTCTGAATGTCGAGTCGATTACGCTGACATAGTTTACGACTAACTTTGTCTACGAGCTCAAAATGCATTTTAACAGGCAATCACGCGATATTAGCTGTCGTTGCTTTCGCGATAAGAACGTATAGAATATAGAATGCACAGGCAAGTTCAGGGTTAATTCTCAAATATAATACACAGAGTCTGTGTCACAGGGTCCAAGGAAAGAAAGAGACAGGAAGAGGGCATGCGCAGGCGTGCCATATGTTGATTGGTCAACTAGACAATACATCGATATAATCTGGAAGAGGATGCTTCCTTGACTCGATATTCGTGTAAAAAAGAATACGCGCACTAATACCTTTGCAGAGACGATTTGAGAAATCGTTACGCATCGTTTGCGATGTCGGAGATTAAATGCGAGTGTTGTGAGTAAACGCACGTGATACAAAGCGTGTATTAACGCTATCGACCGTTTTCCATCTACAAAAATGCATTTTCGCAGAAGCACGATATATTGCATCATAAACTCATAACAAATATGTATTTATCGGGCATCTAGAAAAATTGTAAATGCAGAATATTGCGTTATAACCTAACATTCAGATATTTCCGTCGATAATACAGAGAGTCATTCCGTTAAACGGCACACTGGCATAGTTTGTTCTCAAGTAAAATATAAAAAGGGAGAACCCAGATAGAACAAATTTCTAAATCTCTCTCTTAACCCGGAAATAATCACTTGGCGTCTTTTTAGATCCCAGTTGTCAGAAAATAGAGCTCACGTCGCACAGTGGGCTTTTTACCAATCTGGAACCAATATCTATTTTTCATTTGAGCATTAGAGACCTGATCTATGCAGCAAAAATTAGCTGTGTATACCCCGTCTTATTCATAATATAAACTTCTTAAAAACTTGTTACAAAATGACCCCAAATGATCGTTCACATCACAAAATTAGTTAAATATAATAAGAGCTCGTATTATGAATAAAAATGAATAAAAAGATAGTAATAAGTTTGAATGAGGTTATGTCACTCATACTGAGTAAACATTAAGCAACATTTACATTATATTTGATACTGAACGATAAACATATCCAGAAAAATAGGCAAAAGTGCAATTATTAAATATCTAATATATTTATTGTTTATAATTATTTAGGGCTTATAACTAACATTAACATATGTAGTTACCATTTATAAATGAAGTGAATATTATAAATTATATTTTTTATTTAATATTAAACATAAAAAAATATCTATATTCTTAAAAATTTGTAATTTTTTTATTTAAAAATATTGTCCGTTATATATTTATGTAACACAATTAAGAAGTATAAAAATAAATAAATTTTTACAATTCTG